CTAACTAAAACAACATTACTACAATAAGGTGACTGGCTTTCTGTTATAGCACCACATTCTACCATTTCCTTCAAATGTTGCCTTACTTCTTCATACATAGCAGGTGGGATTCTGCGATATGGTAACTTGAATGGTTTGTCATCTGTAAGAGTAATATGGTGTTTGATTAAATCAGTTTTACCAATATCAGTTGAAGATTTTGAAAATATATGCTCCCATTTGCCAATAACTTGCTGCAATCTCAAAAATTGCTCATCAGTGAGGTTTTCTTTGTTGACCTTAACACCTAAATCCTGTAAAACTTGAAAAGATTTATTAGAATTTGTTTCAGGTTTTGGATCTGATACTTCAGGTTTCCATGAATCCATAACCTTAACTTCTGAAAGAGAACAAAATACAGAATTAGGTTTGATTTTAATAACCTTGGCTGTCATATTACAAACTCTGACAGGAATCCTAGATGTAGTCCCAGCATTATCAAGGGAAACAACTCTTGGACATATATTTAAACCTGAAAGTTGAGGTTTCTCAATTGCTTCAGTAATAGCAGTACAAACACCATCTTTTTTCCTCACTAAACCTGAAATAGTGGTAACCTGAAAAGGCTGAACAACAATTGGTGTTTTGCTTGTAGATTTCACTGAAATAGAATTGACACATTTCATAGCATCTACAGCTATTTTAAAAGGATCTGTTGAAGAAACATTTTCATCAACACTACAAAAACGTAAAACATTGGTACCAATAACACCAGGTACTGACTGTCGGTACTCTGTATCAGGAACAACTAAAATAGGAATAAAAACACAATTTTCTAAAATATCAGGAATAAAAACATCACCCTCAATATAACCTTTGTATGGGATCTTACTACCACTGGCACCTACAATATCTAATTTAAAATCTGAAATATCTAATAATTCAGGTTTTGGTTCCAAACTGTTGTAAAAAGACTCTGAAATCAAAGTAACCATTGAACCTGTATCAACTAATACTTTGGTGTCTACACCACAAATTCTTGCTGTGCCCTCATTAGCCTCACCAACCAACCTATCAGATAAAATAGATTTGGAGCTCTTGTTGCAGCTGACTTCCTCAGTGTGCCCCACCACAGAGGAGTCTAAACTTTTGGGTCAACAGTTTTAGTGTTGTCAGACCTGTTAAAAGAAGAATTGTCAGAATTATTTGACTTAACATTAACATTCTGTTGATGACCATAATTTCTGTTCTGTTGTTGACCTCTACCTCTAAAGTTTCCTCTGTTGTAACCTGCAAAAGAAGTTCTATTATATCCTGAATAATTTCTTCTATAACCTGAAAAATTTCCTCTATTTCCTGAAAAAGATTGTCTATTATGACCTGAAAAAGAATTAGTATTATTTGATGAATCTTGCTTCTTGCTGTCTTTGATGTCTTTTTCAAGAGACTGCATCTTGGTCATCAAAGTGTCCATTTTCTTCGAAAGATCTTCAACCATTTTATCCCTAGAATCTGAAATAGGTTGACATTGAACTTTTGTTAATTTGTCTGATGTTGAAAGTTCTTGTTCTGCAGCTCTAACTTCTCGCAATAACCTGTTATAATCTGAAATAGCATCATACTTGTGACTTGTTAATAATTTGAGCTTTTCATCATGAAGACCTGTCCAAAATTTAGATCTTAACATATCATTTCTAGATGAGTGGCTGACATGGCCTCTTTCAACTGCAACCTGCAATAAAGTTTCTAATCTACAACCATATGAAGTCACATTCTCTGAGGGCTTCTGACATTCACTATAAAAAGATTGCATGACAGATTCATTTGTTGAAACATTTCCAAACAAAGTATCAAGTTTATTTAAAATATCAGATAAAGTTGCCTTTTCTCCCAAAGGTATAAGAACCTGTCTGGCTGACCCACGTAATGATTTACGAATAACCTGTAAACAAATATTTTCTGTTAATGAAGAATCTGATAAGAGACATTTAGTCTCATATCTCCAAACATCATAAGTTACATCCCCTTTCAAAGGAGGCACTTCACCTGAAAAGAATGGTAATTTTACATCAACTTTTGGCATCTGTAATGCAGAAGCATCAAAAGGATTCTGAAATGAAGTTTTAACAATAGGTGTACTGGTAGGACCTGGACCTTTCAAAACATTATACTCATCTTTAGTAAGAACCACATAATCACCAGACTTCTTCAAAGCTTCTAAAACTTGAGAAATTTGCATATCAGTTAAAGGATCACTGTCTGGTTTGTCTGCACCTGAAATAAAACTCTTAATTTTCTCTGTAAGTTTTCCACCTGTAGCCATAGTAAAACCCTACAAATGTAAACACTGAAAATAGAACACAATATATAAACACAAAACCAAACCACGGGTACAGCTGCTAACTGAAATTTCAAATAATGTGATAAATAAATTCAAATTGACCTGGCCACCATCAAAGCATACAGACTATAGGGAATTTCTCAAAATAGCCTATAAACCCTGAAATTTTAATCACATATACATATAATCACAATTTTAATCACATATACATATAATCACAATATCTCACAACACTGACCCAAAACTGTGTCCTCTGAAACAACTGAAATAAAAATACAACACAAATATAATATGCAAATTCCTGTTTAAACAACTAATACCTCTGTACACCGTACACCTCTGGCTTCTGCATACAAAATCAAAATGACCTCTTCAAAATAAACCGAATATCAGCTTCAACACAAAATAAAAGTACAGTGTTACCTGGTGTGCTCACCAACTAACAGTACACAACACACAGCTGTTACTTGGTGTTATCACCAAATAAAAATACTGTATGTATAAACTATAACGATAATCCGCAAATGTTTAGTATCTCAACACACGAGTAATAAAATGTTTTACACCAATAGTTGAAAAATTGCTGAATTTACTTCTTAATTAAAACCTTAAACGGGCTGACTACAATGACAAAACTACTTAACCGTCAGGATAATACAATATAAGGGGTGGCAGCGTTTCAGTCCATAGATTATAAAATATACAAATACTGTTTAATCCGACTCAATAATTATTTATGTAATCTAACGCGAAACTGTCACGAAAGTTATGTATTGAACACTGGTATAAATTTACCTAAAACACAAAAGACATCACAATACTAACCTCACATAGCTCCTCTTCTCACTCATACATCTACGGGTAGTGCAAAGAATGTGTGCAAAGATAGGCAAAAAGAGTGCTCGATAGTTGGGCAAGAATAATTCAGACCAAGAAAGGGATAATAAGTCAATAAATCAACACCCTAAGTTTTCAAGAAAAAAAATACTGTGTTCCTAGAAAAATACCTATGACGCTGTGTGAAAACAAAACTGATCAAAATACAAATATGTCACCTAATCATCTCAATAATATCTACTGTAAAATGTTGCTAACTGGTCAAAATATATCTGATCAAGTAATTACTGAAAAAAATATCTCGCGAAAATATATGAAAAATTTACGTTTTACATGTCAACACAAAAAATACACATACCTCAATATTCACACTATACACAATGATATAAAATCCAATAATTTACAAAACAAAAATATTTACAGGGTAATTTAACAGGAGTTACCCGTTAAATTGGTATTCAAAAATAAAAAAGTTCTGCTAACTGTCCTTTCCTCATTCCATGGTGGTGACTCATCCCGGCTCCTCGTAAATTCTACACGTTGTAAAATTAACAAACGTCTATGGAACGCGTTATCCGTCAAGATGATAAAATTCCTCCTTTCGCGCGAAAATCCTCCAAATGAATTTGCTAGCTAGCTAGACTTAAAAAAATACACTGATGCATCAGATTTAAACACATTAACACTACTCTTCCATCGCATACCTACATTCCAAAAAACCACTACTGCCACGCATATCTATTCCTGGATCCTTTCAAATCCTTCCTAATAAAACATCCATAATAAAAAGAGTACAGTTATAGAGAGTAACAATTAAGAAAAACAAATGTAATAGAATACAATGATTGAATTGCTAGACTAAATTCTGACTAATAATACACAAACTTGGACTGACGTGTCCGAATATACGAGAAGGAATACATACACACACACATGACAATTAATTATATCTTTAATGGATCTAAAATACTTTGAATCAGTAATACCACCGTAGAGCGATCTTGATATATAAGAACTGTATATCCAGAGGTTCAATAATATATATAGAAAATAAGTAAATGATAATAATGTATGATACATAATAATAAACAAAGTTAAAGTTTTTAACGTCATGTCTGACTCCTAAGATGATGACTGTAAAGATAGTTGAGCGGGACGAGGAAAAGCAAACAGTGCGCAGAAGTAAAAACTATCAGAGAAAAGAACCAATGAAATAGTCTCTAAACTGCACCATATTAATCGGATACAGTAAACACAAACACAAACAATTGGATAAGATTACAAGGAAAGAAAGAGTGACCAGTGTTCACAAATATTGCACGGGTGAGATCGACAATGATACATCATTGACGGAAATTGTCGATTTTCACCGATTCAATACCGGAAGTTAAACTTATACGATAAAAAACCTAAACGAAACCGAATAAAAACGCGCGTGCACGATGTTTCCGCTTAAACAAAACTATGGAAAGCCACGGCTGCCATTACCATATAATTTCAATCTGTGACATACAAAACTTTTTTTTCACAATCTGAAGATAAATTGGGCATTGTTATGTACATGTGTAACAAATATCATCATATATAATTTAGAATGATCGGTATGTTCTAGTGATTTTAAGAATGATAAACAATGATAATGCTGTATCTAGCCTGAAAAAGGGCAGGGCACACACGATAATGGGCGATGTGCAAAAGGGTGATGGGACGGGGTGTGCTTCTTAAAATCTTATGAATTTAGCAAATAAAAGAAATATAAGTATAAAACAGATTCAGTTCAGTTAGGCATAAAAGTAATTTGAAATGAAAATGTAAAATGCAGGTTGTTTTATTCTTTTTTCAGAATTGTTTTGAGTGTGGTGGTCACAATCCCCAGTGGGTTAGTGTAACATATGGTGTATGGATTTGCCTCGAGTGTTCTGGTAAACATAGAGGTCTTGGCGTTCATCTCAGGTATTGAAATGTTCTCTGCCTAATCTGTATTGTGACAATAGTATGGTAAATTAACAATTCACCGCTGCTGTATCTGACTATATTTAGTCATGGCATTTATAATACGTTTAACTTTAGATGAAACATATTCTTAATAAAATAGTCAATTAAGTGGACAGAATATATTATTTTTTCTCGTCTTCATATTAAAAAAAAAAAGTACATTTTTAGAATGACTATAAAGTATAATACTAAGGCACTCATTTACTGTTTTTAAAATTTCCATGAAACTATGTTACAAAGAGTTATAGTATTATATCAGTTGTGGCATACATATTTGTGAACAGATTTTTCTTTGATTGCTTATTCATTAATATGTTTCTGAAGCTTAAATCTTAAATATGTTAGTCTGAAATACTCATTTTAAAAATAAATAAAACTACAGTAAACATACATTTCAGTTTTGTACGATCTGTGAGTATGGACAAATGGAAAGATATAGAACTTGAAAAAATGAAAGCTGGTGGAAACAGAAAAGCCAAGGAGTTCTTTGAATCTCAGCCTGATTATAAACCCAACATGTCACTGCAAGAAAAATACAACTCCAGAGCTGCTGCTCTCTATAAAGATAAGGTAATAAAAACATACATGATTGTCAAGATTTTTTTTTTAGATTATTTGGTTTTAGTCATCCACTCATCTTTATTTTATCCAGAAATTATCCCCTGCCAATAGAGTTTGTAGGGAGATATAGAAATTGCATTGTCTGGAATCTGTGAGACCAATTTTCTGGGATTTGTATAATAGAGGAGATGGGAATCACAAAGTGTCATCAAAATCAACCAAAGCTTTTTTAGATAATGACCCTTTGTTTCTTGAAGAAGTGCATTTTCAAAGGAAAATTGCCATTTTAAGCCATATTTTACAAATGGTTGATTACATTTAAATGAAACTCAACAAGAATATGTTAGTAAGCAAATGATGCTTATTACTATCATTTAGTTCTGTTCCTTACTTTTTAAGGTAAATTACCATTGTCAGCCAAACTTAACTTGTAATGATACTCATTATCATCATCAATTACAGTTAGTGTGTATGACTATCATAATTAGTAGGGATACCAGATTCATTTTTGCTCCTATTGTGTACCTCAGATTACTTAAAAACTTCAAAGTATGTGATTTCTATCACACAGCAGGCGTATACAACAATTTGCTTGTTCTATTTTGAATGTGTGTTGATACATGTTTTTTTCATATTATGATTGTGTAAATATTATATATGTAATTATTAACATTATGAATTAACATCTTTTGATACTAACTTATACCTGATATCAAATAATTTGACATATTTTCTTAATTTCTTTAAATGTATGAAACAGTTTGTTACATATCTAAAACAATAGATTTCTTGATGAGACTTAAACTTACTTACACAGTGTACCTTTTATATTAAAGATTTCCACATTAGCTGAAGGCAAGCCTTGGAGTATAGACACATCTACAGCAAGGCATCATAAACCATTTGTTGCCCCATCAGCTGGCCTAAAACCATCACAGAGTTACCCTAGAATGGGTCATCAGGACAGTAGTAGTAATTCCAGCTTCACTAGTAGCGGTTATCAGGATTCATTCTCCTCGTATGTCATTTACAATTGTCATCATAAAATTATTACAGATTTTAAACTTGACAAAATGTACTAAAAAGATTTGTTTGCAAGGCTTTATCAAATATTTTATTTTTTTGTTTATACAGTAAAAAAATCTGGAAAAAGTGTGATCCCTCGGAAGCATTAATCACAACAAAATTACATGAAAATTGAACACTCTGTCTGCAAAACTTTAAATTATATTTAAAGTTTATAAATGGATTTAACTTCAGTAAAGTTACTTGAATTAACTCAAAACGTCACTGTTTTAAAGTACTGTCCTAATATCTGAATATTTGATATCTTGTTGTGGTATCATTGCTTATTTCTTCAATCAAGAAATACACCCTGTATTGCGTCATTTTTTCCCAGTTGCAAATTAATAGAATTGACCTGGCAGTAGACAAAATTTTATGATTATTAATAGACTTTATATATATACAAGTTATTTTACATTTCACAGAGAGGATGTAAAGAAACATAAAGAAGATTTCTTTGAGAGGAGGCAAATGGAAAATGCTTCAAGACGAGAGTAAGTTTGTTATAACTTTACATATCTTTACAGGTATATATACCAACAATTTCAGCTTGTGAGCCAGCTGAACCACTGGCTCTTAAGTTTTTGTGGCCCAGGGAAAGTTTAAGTGATCCATCAGTTTCAATACATAGGTAATCTATGGAAATAAAAATATGGGTTTACACCACTGACCAAACACATTTCCTGTTCTGGTCATGTTTTTCTATGGTTCTTTCAATACATAACTTTAAATGGCACTTTACGAGGGATGATCAAAAATAAACCGGACTGTGACTGGCAATTGAAGAATTTTCATCCTATCACTTATTGTTATATATCACATTTAATCGGAAAACAATACCTGTAAACTGATACTATATCTAATCCGATAACGCAAATAGCTTGTCCGTAACAGCAAATTCAAAAACCATGGTAACGCACACCCGGCGCAGTGCGTAAATTCGCCTTGACATGAGGCGCTTTATGCTGCGTGTATTTTAAAATATGGCACAATTAGATTTCAAAATATGCCAAAACGTCATGTACAATATCTTTGACGTTGTCAGTAAAAATGACTTCATTTAAACCATATTTATATTTACAATCACAATTCAAATGTCACATGTTAATGAAATAGTCGCGTTAAAACTATGTCGTCGGAATGTCTCGAAAATCGATTAATAGGAAAAATTTGTCAATTGTAAGACGAGAAACTGTTTAAAACGTAGAAAAAGATTATGGCTAACAGGGGAAAAGTTCCAGAAAGCCACAGCATATTTTTTGATTAGCTTAAAAGATTAAGAAAAGATAATAGAGAAATAGACACAAGTAAGAGAGAGACAGAAAAAAGACATTTTCAAGGACGTTGGTGACGATTAGTCGCCAAGACGTTGAAAAATGACAGTCGATTGACTGCGGACATTGTCAACAATGTTCGATTATAACTACGGGACGGTGCAGTCAACTCTGTATATATAGGCAGGAGATCCGCTGCATCAATAACATAACTGCACCACATATTGGCCTACTCTGTGAATGAGTAAAGATCTGCTCCGTTAAGGACAATGCGCTTGTGACGTCGTTAACGTCAATTTTAAAGTTATACCGTGCGCTGCATTGCTTTACATGTGCATGCCAATAACAGCATAACTTTTTTCTTTGTTAATATTTCTTGTTGGTATTTTTTGTATCATTTAGAGGATAGATTCCTATTTATTTTCCGTATATTGTTATGCAAATTCATTTAACAGGTTAAGAATCGTTTACAAAGTCCGGTTAATTTTTGATCATCCCTCGTATATGTCTTTGTAAGTAAGTAAGACCTTATGAAAGGATTTAAAATGTTAGATATCACTTCCAGTGCTCAAGTTAAAGCATGGAAAGATAAATAATTAGATACATTATAAACTTTAAACCATCAATCTACTTTTACTATTAATATGTGTTACTATTTCAGTGATTTACCACCAAGTCAAGGAGGGAAATATGCAGGGTTTGGGAATACTGTAGAACGAAAGAAGGAAGATGACTTCTTTGAAAATACAATGAGCAGTTTATCCTCTGTAAGTTTAAATTTTATATCACTATACTGTTTCAATACAAAATTAACTGTCTCAATACAAATTGTATACTGTCTATACTAAATGTATACTGTCTCAATACAAAATTTATACTGTCTCGAAACAAAATGTATACTGTCTCAATACTAAATGTATACTGTCTCGAAACAAAATGCATACTGTCTCAATTCTAAATGTATACTGGGTCAATACAAAATGTTTACTGTCACAGTACTAAATCTATACATGCTTAATTTAAATGGTTGAAATAAAAAGAAGTTTGATAATATTGCCAAATTAAACTTATATACACAATATATATATAAAGAGTGAATTTAAAATAAAGTTGTGCACTAAGCATAGAAATCTTTTAGTAAAGCACTGAAAATATTTATTCCCCAATTATACATGCATATATTTCTTAAACAAAAGTAAGATGCACATCTGTTATAACTTCCTTTAGTTTGCTAACTTAAATTGCCCATTGAACTTTCAAGATTTATAGGTTGAAACCTTGGGTAAATTTGTTATGTGATATTAAGTTATGTAGAGAGTGTGAAAATATTTTATAATCATTAGATTAATTTATTGTAGGGATGGTCTACATTGGCATCAGGTGCATCAAAATTTGCTTCAGTTGCCACAGAAAAGGTAAGAATTTATCACATCTATAATTTATAACACAAATAAGAAAGGAAATGTTCTTTCAGTGTAAATAAATAAATTAATAAAAATTATAGCTGAATGAATCTTTTTTTAAATCTTTTTTATATGCCCAAAAGAATTTCGGGCATATGTTATACCCCCTGGCGTCCGTCCGTCTGTACAAACCCAGAGGTACTTGTGATCCTATTCATTCCGTTTTTACTTGTGTGTCTTTTAAGCCTTATAAATGTGACTAAAATGGCCAAAAAGATCAAAGGAAAAGTCACATAAGTACCATTTTGTGAGTATGTCCGTCCGTTAGCAATTTGGTGTCCGGAGCATAACTTAAGTTCCATTTGGCCCACAATATTCAAACTTCATAGGATGATTGTCCATATTGGGTAGAAGACCCCTATTGATTTTAGGGTCACAAGGTTAAAGGTCAAGGTCACTATTACCTTAAAACTGAAAACAGTTTTCGGAACATAACTTAAGTTCCATTTGGCCCACAGTGTTCAAACTTCATAGGATGATTGTCCATATTGGGTAGAAGACCCCTATTGATTTTGGGGTCACAAGGTTAAAGGTCAAGGTCACTATTACCTTAAAACTGAAAACAGTTTTCGGAACATAACTTAAGTTCCATTTGGCCCACAGTGTTCAAACTTCATAGGATGATTGTCTATATTGGGTAGAACACCCCTATTGATTTTGGGGCCACAAGGTCAAAGTTGAAGATCACTATTACCTTAAAACTGAAAACAGTTTCCAGAGCATAACTTAAGTTCAATTTGGCCCACGTTTTCGGAACATAACTAAAGTTCCATTTGGCCCACAGTGTTCAAACTTCATAGGATGATTGTCTATATTGGGTAGAAGGCCCCTATTGATTTTAGGGCCACTAGGTCAAAGTTCAAGGTCACTATTACCTTAAAACTGAAAACAGTTTCCAGAGCATAACTTAAATTCCAGTTGGCCCACAATATTCCAACTTCATATTAGGATTGCTATTTGAAGGAGGTAATACTTTATTTAATTCCCATGTCTTACAAATGCTTCATCCTTACTAAAAAAAAACAGCAATAACACACTTTTTGGCATGTAATGCTCCGCCTAGCAGTGCTCTTGTTATATATGGTATATGCCCACATAATCTACAGGTTCAGTTGTGGTATTTTGTAATAAGGATAGACGGTTTGTATCTACAGCCATACCTTAATGTAGAGGAATACAGCTTACCTCCCTTTTAATAAAATCCAACATATTGTATTGCACAATTATTTTCTTCAAAAAATGAATAAAACTTTTAGTTACTATAATGTTCTAGATTTAAGGATCTTGATAGTGACGCCATAAATATATTTGTCAGATTCTTAACTTACTTCTCACAACTAGCTTTGCCAAATAAATCAGAGTTAATATTTTATTCTTGGATTGGTTTCAATGAATTTGATAATTTGAGCATAAATTTGCCATCCTTTACTACTCTTGAATGAAGAGCTAATTTTGCCTGACACTGCTTATCTTGTCAGCATTGTGTCATGACAAGCATTGAAATCAGATTAATTTTTAGCTGCACTACAGAAGATTACTCACCCGGGTGTTTGAGAGCATTATACTAGGTCACTGTCCAAGGTTCTAACTATAATGTGGAATGGCCCTTTATGCATTTAGAAAATTCTACATTATCCAGGCTCTTGTTTTACTATAAAGCACTGAGAATAGTCAAGCACACTGTCCTACCAACAACCCTTATCTCTCTTATTCTGAGGTACAAAATATATAGTATACTGAGAAGCTTCTATCAAAAGTGATGTGTATAATACAGTGAAGAATGTCAATTCAACAAATATTCTTGTCTGTATTGTGGTTATTCAGATATAGTATTCATTGACATAGGAAGGCATTTCTTATCACAGTGTAAACAATATATAATAGGTAGTGCAAGCATTTAGAAAAAACAAATAAACATTTTGAACTGAGTGTAATGATAGTAATTAAACTAGCATAGTTAAATCAACAAAATATATAGAGCTTTGGAAATGTTAACAATATAAAAAATATTGTGTATTGAATATGAATAAGAAAACAAACTTAATTGAAATAAAGGATTTAATATACATCTAGAATTAGTGATCAAGAGAGAGAATATTTGCAATTTAAAACATAGATTTCTGTGAAATAAATTTTATCTGTCTAGGTTTAATTTTCATGTATTTCATGGCAATATTGCACATAATATTATATGTATTAAAGTACACTATACTATAAAGCAAACAGTTCTTTTGTTTAGAATTTGATATGGGAAAATATACCAAGTAAAGCTTTAATAGAAATGTCTGAAACAAATGCCTACTTTATTACTAACACATTTGTAGTATGATATCAGTATTTACATTATAGGGAAAACTTTAAATGATTTTATTTTAACTGTAATACCCTGTAGTATAATTTAGGCCTGTGAATACCTTCAGCATTCATTTAAGCTTGACCTTAAAATGTATCAGACTAGCTTTGACATTTAACAAAGATGTAGTTTTACAACTTCCAGAAATCTTGTATAATTGTATGACTATATGAGAAGAGTTGTTATAATTGTATTATTGTGTTTAATTTATCTGATGCTATCAGGTGTATGGTTGGTCTCAGGTAGGTTTTATATTGTGTCTCTATTGGTTATCATTTTTCCTTTATCAATATTCTTCTTTTTTCTACATTATGTTACTGAGTTTTTTATGTTTAAGAATACACTTGTATGTAATGTATAAATCATTATAATATGATGTGATATATGTTGTCAGTGTGTAGATGTTGTACACAGGATCTAAAGTCCTGGGATCTGGATGATAGCAACGTTTCTCATTTATGGTTTTAAAGGGACTCCACTGATGCTTGACATGACAGGTTTGAAGATCTTCTACATAGATTTATGTACCATTTCATGAAGGTCTGGACCAATACTGTGTGTACAAATTTTCAGAACATTCCCTCACCCTGTTTTTTTCTAGAATAATCATTTTTATTGAACAAAAATCTAAAATATGGCTAAGAATTGGGAAAAATAAAATCAGTATTAAAATATTTCTGGGTATTTCTTCATTATTCTTTGCATATTTTCCATTTTGATCAACGTAAGAATTTCAAATATATGTTTTTAGGCTTTTTAACATTAGTGGTGCTAAAGTCCTAAATTTTTAAAATATAACAATATAAATAATCAAGCATGATTTTAAATATTTTATCATAGCTTCTGCTGATAAAGTAGAATATGAAATGATATGCTCAATCAATATCTCAGATAAAACAAATTAATTGTTGTCTTGATGTGATAAAATAAGAAACTTTATTGTCTTTCCACTTGCCACAGCTAGCAGGTACTGATAAAATCATAGTTGTGACCATAGCAGGTATCAAACTCAGAATTCCTGGGTTGAAAGGCAATCATCTGAACTTCTATATCAAAAGAGCATCAATTGTTTATTTAAAGTGTCATTCCAACACCCTGAAACAGAAGAATAATTTTATTATGGTAGAATATCTTGCTTTGATAAATATCATATCATAAGCTGAATTTCAGTGATTTTTGTGCAGTATTATGATTGATGTATGATATTTTTATTTGGAAAAGATATTTTACAGTTATTAATCATTGCTGTACAGGGGGGTTGTTGAGAAATGATATAATGATGGATTCTGCTTCACAAAAAATTGATCCACCGCATAAATGGACAGCTGATTTATAGCTTTACTTGATCCTACAAAATTGACAAGTAATTTATTGCTGTAGTTCATGCCAGGAATATAACTAGGATGGAATGTCACCAGGGGAATTGCTTTAACAGAAAAAATAGACAAACAGTTCCAAACACTCTACAAACATTTTTTTAAGGACAATTAATTTTATAGCTGATATTTTTGTTTTCAGCTATTTAAGATTTGTTGTGATTATATTATTTAATTACACAGTGATAATCTACTTTGTTATAATCTGTATGCATGGAAGTGAAATATTAGTCTTGTTGCCTAAAAGTTCATATATCGGAAGTTTTTCTGTCTGTAAGTCAGCCATGTTTCTAGTTTGATTTGATACATTTATTAAATGATGAACCAGTATCATATTAATATTGAACAATACTATCTAAAGTAACTGTAGCTTACTGTATTTTATCAAGAATCTTTAACATGACAGACAATGCCTGTATGCAGTATTTAAAAGATACATTATTGTTTTGTCTGCTTGGTGTTAACAATTTAGATCAATTTGAAATAACCCTTATCTCATTTGTAACAAATTTTATGTTATTTTTAAGTGCATTATGGCATTTCATTAAAATTGTGTTTAAAATGTTTTCTTGGAAGTCTTCTGTAGAAAAAAGAAAGATAAACATCCAAAGTAAATATAAGGCGAAACATTTTGTTCTGAATAATGTTTACAACTCATTTATTTGAAATTATCTAGGTTTTACCCAACCATCTGAATTTGAGCCGTGTCACGACAAAACCAACATAATGGGTTTGCGACAAGCATGGATCCAGACCAGCCTGCGCATCCGCGCAGTCTGATCAGGATCCATGCTGTTCGCTTACAAACCCTATAACAAGTAGAGAAACTGATAGCAAACTTCCTGAACAGACTCCAAGTATGCGCAACTTGGTCTGGATAATGCTTTCAAAACCATTATTTGATTATTAGTTATCCAGCTCAAATTTCCTTTAACTTAAAAATTTGGGCTGTTTTGTACAAGCACATGTCATTGTTCATGTTCATGTAAAACCTACTTCAAAAAGGTTTTTCAGATTAAAATAAGTTAGTTGGTTGTTAATATATCAGCCATTTTTCTTGAAAAAGGGGATAAGTTACTATTATGTATTGTTGTTTTGATATTCTAACATTTTCAGAATGAACTGTAATGGAAAATAATGTTCCTTTTTTAAAGGAATAAATATCAGGACAGATGTCATAGTGGAGTTTGCATATCTGTAGAACTAATGGCATGACTTCTTCATCTCACAGCCCTGCTATACAAGTTGTTACATACATGCATGTACTTATTATTGCAATTACTTTCAAAAGTCACACACAATATTGTCATGGGTCTTGCCGTTTATTTACCATCTAGGAGGAGAAAAGAAATTAATCATTATGTTCGGCCTAGTATTTATTACGCATAATCCACGTTTTAGACCGTTCTTTACTGCTCATATTGATTAAAGACAGTCTGAGAAAATGCTGTTGTGCTCTTGTGCTTTCCCGGAGATATTTTTGCCAGACTTTTACTGACTTTTGCTTTTCAAGATTTTTGTATCCTGTTTTAGAAAGAAAATATATATAGATTTAGATGTATAGATATGCTGGAAAAGCTCAGTGCACGTTGCATACATAAATTATTTGTTTTAAGAAAAGTTTGTAGCATTGTTCTGTTTGTGTTTTGCTTTGTTTTGTTTTGTTCATATATTTTCAACAATATTTTGGCTCATGGAAAGATTATATGATAAAGATTATTCTTTCTGTTGCACAAGTATTGGTACTACTTGAGGCTTGGCAAGTGTCTGCCAAAAAAAGTTTACTAAAAGGGTGTTTACAAAATATATTAATTGTGATATTATATTTGGTTGTTTCTACACAAATAGATCAAAACCAACACAAAATTCAAATATCAATACATGTTTCACTTTATTACCTTCGTCAGTTGATACATAAAGGACATCCATACATCAGGGTTATGTATGTTTCACCATTTGTTGTTTATTCCAAAAATTGATATTCTATAGAGGTTAAATGGTGGTAAGAAAATATTTCCACCATATTTCTTGAGTAACAGCTGATGAATATTTTCTTAAAAACTTAAAACACAGATGTTGTAAAAGAATGTAATGAAATGCATCTTGTAGATTATCTGTTACCTAGTTGAGTGCATGGTTATCTGTTTTATATGACTGTAATATTATATGCAACTTTTTCTACTTTTGATAACAAAATAATTAATCGCTTATGCTCATATAAAGCCAGTTTAATCAATTATCTAAAGCACATTGAAATTGATGCAAATTGAACTATTCTAAAGATATGATCAGTTGGTAGATGCTGTCAACTTTACGTCTGAAAAACTTTATTTTATGGTATTTTGTTACAGTTTCCAAAAATGTACTCATTGTCCATATAGATGAATAATCTTTTGCTCTATAGCAATCGGTATAATTATAGTGATTTAGTATTTTGTATGGAAGTCAAAATACTACTTTGTTTACATTTTGTAATCTTTATGACACTTTATTGCACATTTATAGCTACTATCTTCAGGTAACTTGCTCTAAATCCATTAGTAATGTTGATTTTACAATGTTTCATTGATTTATAATTATGTGCTTGTGACAGATGATTTTCACATTATAGTGTTGAATCATATATAGAGTATAGACTGGATTGATAAACTGCTTCATTAAAACGGTTTCATTAAAAACATTGTTTAATACATATAAAAGTAAATACTTATAAAGTTATTTCAGATTTAGAACTGTAGTTGTGACTGTAACTGTACTCTCTGTATTGGAATAATGTTTGTGAATGTAACTGTAGATGCAGTATTATTGGCATGTAAGGCAAAAAATCCAATGTCACAGATGTTCTTCGGGCTTTTGGTTATTTCTCCTAACGAAAGGAAATATTGGGTAATATTGCAGAAAAATATTTTGAGGAGTTACTTGTCATCATTTTGAGAGGTAAAGATATTTTTTTGGTAACTTAAATTTGTTATCTTGAAGTATTTCAGTGAATTGCTTTATGTATTGATCCTTGTTAAATGTAATTAAATGCACGTCAAGTTGAAAAGTTTAAAACAAGATGTTGTATTGTATAGATTAGCAATTTGAGCACATGCTCATACAAAATTAAAACAATTTATTTTTAACTGTAAAGTTTGAAGTTTTAAACCTGTAAAACAATCTTAATCTGTTATTGTTCTGATATTTTAACGTTATCTTATTTTGCAATACATTATATCGGCGCATCCTGGATATTTTTTCTTCTGCGTAAAGTTACCGTCAAGAAATTCATATTCAGCTAAGCCTTTGTCATTTATAGCGGATTAGTGAAAATAAATTACATTTTCAGCGTAGCTTTAATGGACAAAATTGAGCAGAGAAGAAAAGCTGTTGGATGTTTTATTTAGCATGTATTGATCTGCTGAATTACAGGCAAGAAACTCTAGAGATTATCTTTTGTCGCAGACTCTTTCCCTTTGAAATGAAATTTCTTGAAGCTCTTTGAAAGTTGACATCAAGATTGTGGTAATAACACTCTTGCTTTTTTGCTGGTGTGATATTATTGAATCTTTGTCTAGTTGTTAAGAGTACAAATTTTGTACAAATATGTAACTGAAATTAGATAAAGGGACATTTCTTTTGTTACAGAATGAAGTGTATTTTGTTATGTTCAGTTTACAGTTTGATGGCCCCTTGTTAAAAAATTTTGTTTGATCATCTTTTCAACCACTCACCAACTGCTTGCCTTTTTCATTTAACATAACTTTTATGGTCATTCAAATAATGGTGATCAAATTATTTTTTTTAAATGGATACTTCCTCCATATTAACTGTGAAACCATTTAAAAGTTGATATGCTTGAAATAATAGTACTAATATTACAATAC